ACTGTTGTGCATGGTGGCGTTGTCGTTCCACCATTGCAAAAGACTGAGCAAGGGAAATCAGCATATCCTCCTAGCGGAGCTTCTGCGTACATGAAGGTAGCTAGAAATATTTGAATTTACACACTAAGTTCTTGTGCTAAATTGCTAATCACCTAAGATCTTAAGGCATAAAATAAATAGAATTTGAGTTGGTTATTTCTAGGCTTTGAAGTTAGTGAGCTACAGAAATACACCTACATACATAGATTTGTGAACTTTCATTCACCTCTTGTTCACTGATGAAGTTACTGGCAATTGAGTTGCCTACAGTCCAGTACTACAATTAGAGGTAATATTTTTGAGACATAGGAAGCGACAGAAAAAATTTACCAGAGAGGCCATAGAAAAAATTGTGCGCAAATGATTTTTTTTTTCCTCTGTTTTTCTTAGCTCATCGTCTGATGATATTGGAAATTCTCGTTTGCTTGTTGGAAACATGTTTTGCCATTTTCGAGCACCACTCTCATATTTATGTAATGATATATACTACAACTAAAGAATGATTTTGTTGTGTTATCATTTGAATTTTGACCATCCCTCTTTTTTCAGGACGAAGCAGGGACAGCAAACATGGCATTTGAACACCTCGTTAGCATCTATGCAGTTGGCTTCTTGGGTGCTTTGTCAGGTGCAACAGTATTCATGTTGTACACCCACTTTTCAGGCACCACGGCTTCGCTTCAGCACTTCTCCTTTGCATGTGTTGCTGGTGCCTTCCATTGGTTGCCAGCTGTCATTGCCGCTTATGCTGTGATTGTCCGGGAGACAACCAAGAGCCCAGTGGAATTTGCTCTCTTCATTGCCTTCGCCTACTTTAGTTATGGGATCATCGTTAGCCTTCTCACCAGTGTCACCAACAAAGCTCTTGCTACAAGGTCAGGGACCAAGAAGAAGGATATGGCAAGTTTGATCCAGCAGCGCATAACCATCGCTGCACACCTCAGATTTGCAAAGATGATATCCGGCACAGAAGCCTTCTGCATGTATTTGAGGCTTCTTGGAGCAAAGATTGGCAGGCATTGCTCTATCCGAGCCATCAATCCGGTGGCAAATCCTCAGCTGATCAGCATTGGTGATGGGGTCCATCTAGGTGATTTCTGCAATATTGTTCCAGGGTTCTACTCAAAGGGGTTTACCAGTGCAGAGATTAAGGTCCAGGACAACACTGTGGTTGGCAGTGGCAGCTTGCTCCTTCCTGGCTCTGTCCTCCAAGAGAATGTCATCCTGGGAGCACTATCTGTCGCCCCACAGGGTTCGGTTCTCCTTCAAGGTGGCGTCTATGTCGGGGCGCAGTCTCTGACCTTGGTGAAGAACACCTCGCTCACAGATGATGAACGGATTGCAGAGATGGACCCGATGTATAAGAAGATTGTTGGGAACCTTGCGGCGAACCTGGCCATCACTACCATGAACGTCAAGTCAAGATACTTCCACCGCATTGGCGTCAGTGGGCGGGGGGTCCTGAGGATGTACCAAGATATACCTTCCCTGCCCAAGCACAAGATATTTGGCGCCGGCAAGTCTTTCCCGGTGATTGTCCGGCACAGCAACAGCCTCAGCGCAGATGACGACGCAAGGCTCGACGCTCGCGGCGCAGCAGTGCGGATCCTCTCGGATGATGGCGAGGTGCCTCTTCTTGATCTCACACTGAAGAGCGGCAAGGCGTTTTACGCGCGCACAATGGCCGACTTCGCCACCTGGCTTGTCTGTGGCCTGCCGGCGAGGGAAGAGCAAGTGAAGCGTGCACCGCACATCCGTGACGCCGTCTGGGGCTCATTGCGGAAGACCGACTCGTACACCATGCTCCATTACTACTCAAACATATGCCGGCTGCTGCGGTTCGAAGACGGCAGGCAGATGTATGCAAAGTTCAAGCTTCGTCCTGCGGACCAAGCCATCTCGGAGGACTCCGGCCAGGTGGTGCCGCGTGGCATCCTGCCGCCGGAAACTGGTGCGATCCCGAGGGACGAGGGTGACACACGCCCGCTGCTCTTCCTCGCTGACGACTTCCGCCGGAAGGTGGAGTCTCCCGAGGGGGTGCGCTATGTCTTCCAGCTGCAGCTCAGGGATGTCCCTGCTGACAGCGCCACTCGCGACATCGCTCTAGACTGCACACGGCCTTGGGACGAGGCCGAGTTCCCGTACATCGAAGTCGGAGAGATAAGCATTGGCAGCAATCTCCCAGCAGAGGAGACGGAGAAACTCGAGTTCAACCCGTTCCTGCGGTGCCAAGAGGTGGACGTGATCTCGGCGACGTCCTGCAAGCAGAGCGCGTCCATCGACCATGGGCGCTCGCTGGTCTACGAGATCTGCCAGCGCGTGCGAAATGGCGAGCCACTGCCGGCCTCGTGGCGAGCGTTCCTCGAGCAGTCAGACACCAAGATCGACTTGTCAGGCTGTCCCGTCATCGCGGCGACGCGCTCAAGCTCGGACGTCCGTCAAGCCACCAAGGTGACGCTGGCTCGGACATGGTATCAGGCGCTCTGGGCCACGCTGTGCCAGCCACTGCTGCAGACTCTCGTGCCTTACTTCGTCGTGGGCCTAGTCATCTTCCTCCCCCTCCGTGGCCTCCTCGCCGCCATGGCCACCGGCATGCCACTCTATTGGACTCTGCCCATCTTCTGGGCCACGTCAGGCGTCGCGGCGATGGGTGCCTGTGCTGCAGCGAAGTGGGCCCTGGTTGGCAGGCGGGCTGACGGTGACACAGTGCACATCTGGGCGCCGCCCGTGTTCCTGGACACGGTCTGGCAGGCGGTGCGGACGGCGACCGCGGAGTACTTCGCGGAGCTGACGCCCGGGTCCGTGCTGTTCGCTGGGTGGATGCGGGCGATGGGCGCGTCCGTGGCCGTGTCCGGTGGCGTGTACGTGGACTCCATGGGCGCGCTGCTGAACCCGGAGATGGTGCACCTGGAGCGCGGCGCAAGCGTGGGGCGGGACGCGCTGTTGTTCGGCCACGTATACGAGGGCGAGGGCGGGGAGGTGAAGTTCGGCAGGGTCCACGTGGGAGAGGATGGGTTCGTCGGCAGCCGCGCGGTGGCCATGCCGGGCGTCAGGGTCGACGACGGTGGATGCCTCGGTGCCCTGCGGCTGGCCATGAAGGAGGAGATCGTGATGAACAGGATGTAGCCATGTAGGACAGCAAGAGCGGAAGGCTTCATCATAGCAGTTAAGCATTTCTTTTCCTTTTTGGGGGTTGAGTTGCAGCTGCTGCTGCTGCTGTTTTTACAGTTTTATTAAGTACTATTTCTCTGGCACTTGTACACATAGGATCACAGTACCTTTTTGTTTGGCTTATAAGCCGTACTTTTTCAGCCTAACGAATAGTATTTTTCTCTCACAATAAATCAGCTAACAATACTTTCAGTTATGACTTATCAGTCAAGCGAACAGGGCAATGATCAATAAGTGGCTTGTAAGCTACAGGTGTGTACTCCGAGTTTGCCTTAATGCAATGATATGAAGTCAATCGATCGATCTTTGTGTTTTTTGTCAAAGATCAATGAGTTTTTCTTTATTTAAAAGAAAGAAAGAATCAAAACAAAGTTGTTTGCACTGAATCTCTAAAACATACTGCAAGATTACTGAGTTTTGTATTTGTTTGCTCCGAGTTGGCAGTGTTCCTTTTCTTTTTTGATGAGTGAGTGGCAGTGTTGATTTGAGTTGTATTCCCTCTATCTCAATTTACAAGTCATTTCAAGAATTTTGGAAAATCAAAGCATCTCAAGTTTGACCAAATTTATATGATAAGATAATAACATTTATGATACTAACTAAGTATCATTAGATTCTTCATTAATTATATTTTCATAGTATATCTATTTGATCTTATAAATGTTTATAATTTTTTCTATAATTTTGGTTAAACTTGATATGCTTTGACTTTTAAAGATTCTTGAAATAACTTATAATTTGAGATGGACGGACGAGGGTGTAGTTGGTAGACTATTTTCCTCTCTAGTGGTAGCATAAAAGGCAAGACGTCTGGTGATGCCTTAGAAGTACCTGTACTCTTTCCCACTTATCCTTTTCTGTGAAAGCTACTTGTTCCCTTCAGGATCTTGTCCTGCATTCATGTGTACATCAAACATACATTCCAGCTTGTCCTTGTTCTTTGCTGATCACTTTGTTCAAACTTGGTGGAGCCGGTTTCTGTCACTTCCAGTAGTTCAAAAACCACCAAGTAGTTTTCCTGGTGCTTTCGGGGTGTTGTTCAAACACTACATCTTGTGTGATGTTGCTGGCGATGGCTCCAACTGCCACCTCACTCATGGAGAAGATGTGTGCACAGCCTTGCTGATCTTTTTCGATGCTGCCCGCTAGTGGTCATTTTTCGAAGTACAAAGGTTCTCTTTTTTTAGGGAAAAAAGTACAAAGGTTCTATGTTCCACTTTGGGTGAGGGTAAAAAAAAGGTTGAAGACATTTTGAAGTTCAAATCTTTGAGTCTCTCTACCATTTCCCAAGCGCAAAAGCGAAAAAAGAATCCAAGCTGTGGCAAAGCTGTAAAATCGTCCAACGGCTCTGACCACCAGCTGTCTGCGACGTCAGCGAGGCGAGAGAGGACGGCCGCTAGGCGCTCGCTCGCCGCCAAGGCGAGAAATCCCCGGGCCGCTCCACCTCCGACTCTGGATCGCGGGCCCCCACAGACGGCGCTGGCCGCGACGGCGCAGCAGGCGGAGAGCCCTCCCGGCGCGATCAGAGCACCCGATGCTCGCCACGTGTATCCGCGGCACGTGACCGTAGCACGGATAGGGGAGCAAAGCACCTGCCGCCGCGAGCCCGCGACGCGATGCGCCTCCCGGTTTTCGTTTGAGCCCCCACACCACCAGACGGGCGAAACCAACTCTGCGGCAGAGGGCAGAGAGGGTCTTGGAGCAGACAAGCCTGACTCTTGTTCCTCCATCTCTTCCCTCGCCTTGCGCGTGTTGGCGACTGCGTCCGCGAGGCCGCCGCGTCTGGCCGGATGGCTCGTGCGACCGTCGTCGCCTTGCTCGCCGTTGCTGTGCTCTTGGCCTGCTTGCCGCCCGCCGCCGCCTCGTCGTACCGGGGAGGTACGTAACGCCGGCCCATCGCATTGCAAACCGTGTTTCTTGGTTCTTCCGCCGCCCTCAAAACCTGACGCTTTCGCCCACTCCTTCCCTCGCCGGCGGTGCAGCAGCTGCATTGCGACGGCTCGAGACAACGGCGCCCATGGACACCGCGCAGGGCTTGCGGGAGAAGGCGGACGTGGCCAAGGTAAAAGAAGACGCCGCCGTGCTGCGGCCTAGGGTCAAGAAAAGGCGGCTCTTTTTCTGATGGTTTCTTTCCTGGCCGGGGTTTTCTCCGGCTCCGGCGTGCAGGGCGCGGAGGAGGACCTGAGCACGACGGGTTTCAGCGCGGAGTCCGAGAGGGAGGTGCCAACGGGACCGGACCCCATCCACCACCACGCCCGGGGGCCAAGGCGGCAGTCGCCTTGATCATGCGCGCGCGACACGGCGGCGGAGGATCCTCGCTTCCTGGAAGTTGTGGTCTTGATCAGTCGGGCGTGAACCGGATTCCACGATGATCATGCTGTTTCTGTGTTGTTAACTGTATCTGTGATGCACTTTTGGTTCTAATTCCATTGTTGTAGTAGGGAAGCAGCATCCACCTATCAACTATCATCAAAACCTTGTTTTGGCATTCCAATTAGAGAAAGGGAATACAACGCAATTCATAATAAGTGTGTACAATGAATGCCATGTATGAGTTGTTCTTTCCCTCGTAATATTGTCAGTTTGTCTTGTTGCTGGTTCATTCTTTGATTGGTGTTCTCTTTGTGATTGCTGGCTGGTTTAATTTATACTAAATGCTCAGCTTGTTTTCAAACGTCTTTGCATTAATGCCTGATTGTTCAAGTTCAGATCTTATTTGAGGGGGTGTTCAAGTTCTGATTGTGGGATGGGAAGCAAGAACTGTGTTTTTTTCCTATTCCTGGAAGAAAGCAACTTTGTTCAATTCGTTGTTTTGCCAGAGAAACAAGTACGCAGTAGTGAGGAGTACTGTATGGGGCAAGCGTGCATCTTGTCTCAAAGCTGGGTGTAGCCAGTGCAGAGAGCTCCCGCTTTGTGTAGGGTCTAGGGAATTTTTGTATAAAAAAAAGAACCAACACGAGTTCATATTTCATTTCTCTGGATTGCTCTAGCCTGATTTGCTTTTATTTGCAACATTATCAGTTCTTCTTGCCCAAGTAACGGATCAATATATTATATTGCAATCACATTCAACATTTTTTTTCTGGATTTCATTGAAATGGGCCTCAAGTACTCAAAAGTAACTGCATTTTACATCATCAAATTTGCACCCAATCAGTGAGGGTACTAGATAGTGATTGATTTATGTGATTTCTCTGTAAACAGAGGTGTATGTATGCATGCAAATGTTTTTTAAGGTTGTCATATTTCTGTTATAAAAAAAAGGTTGTCAGATTTCCAACAGCATGCATGTAGTGGCCAGTTATGAATTTTGGCTTGTGTTATCAAGAATTAAGCTAGAAAATAAACTTGGTGACTTAATAAGCTTGTTAAAGCATGCCATATGATGCTAGCATGCTTGCCTTTCGTTCCATGATTGACCACCGGCATTGCTTGAAATTCAGGTATCATTAGTTTTTAAGGCTTGGGCTGGATTTGAATAATCGCGCTTGTTGTCAGTTCTAATGAAACTTTGGCACAATGTGCTGCACAGATTGTTGCCATGGACGCATCATGATTGATGCTTGCTTTTACGAAGGAACCGTTATGAAATCCATGGATGCTTTTATGCTGACTGCACAATTTACCATTGCGCCGGCAAATAATATATAGCAAAAGAAAAGAAACGGGGCATTGTTTTAAATGAGAAAAAATTGAGAGTAGCATACGGAGTAAATTCATGTTTTTTTTACACAATGTGCACATGCTTCCCCATGTGTAATGTATTTAAACGGTCACGGGTCCACCTCAGTTGCCTGGAGTGTATGCCGTATGCCTCGCATGGAACAAGTGTAGCTTTTGCCTCATGCTCCTGACACTTCCCACACTCCGCCGACCCACACGTCAAACCATTCTTCTAGCTATTCTCGGTCTCCATTCTCCAACCAGTCTAAGAAGGGGACTTGCTACCATCAGACGGTGCTCCAGAACACGCGCACCCTGCTCCAGAGCCCGCGCGGGCCCACGCATACGCGGGGATCACCCTAAGCCCCCTCTGTTTCACACGCCCGCATGCACGCAGCAGTAGCATCAACACCACCTGCTGGCGCGTGCAGTGACCCACGGTGGCACACTAGCAGTTCCTGAGATCTATTTTTGAAACATCGAATGAAACACTTGCAATATACGTCTGAAATAGATGAAACACTTAAACATGCACCTGAAACATACGTTTATAGCCATAGCAACATATGCAACACCAGATCTACTTTTGAAACATCTAGATGCAACACTTGCAACATATAAAAAATGACAGATGAAACACTTGAAAAAAACACCTGAAAATGCTTGAAACCTATAGCAAAACATACACAACATCTAAATAAAAATACTTACAGAATATGTGTGAAACATATGCCACGTTTAGATAAAACACACTTATAACATATGGAGTATGGTATGAAAAATATATAAAACATTGGGAACAAACGCTCGCAACATACATGTACAAACCATTACAACAAATGCAACATCTGCATCTACTTTTGCACCATACGTACGAAACACTAGCAACATAAAATATCTAAAACATTTGAAATGTACACTTGCAACATGCGCTTTCAGCGCAACACTCTTTGCTGCTCGGGAGAAATGGAGTTTCGTCGGCGTGTGAAATTCATTGGTCTAGAGCTCATCGGTGACGCTGAGCGATAGGCCAGGGGGGCGATAGCCGTCGAGCGCGGTGGCTGAAGCGGAGCTGCCCTCCGTTTCTTTGAGCCCAACGATTGAGCTTTGCGTTGTCGACGGACCAGCCAAGGGACACTGCAGCCTTAGAGCGGACCGGACAGGGGGCAGCCGCGGACTGGCTAAAGGAGCGCGATGGGGCGGCGGCTGGCCATGGGGCACCGTGGATTTTGGACTCTGGGGGGCGCTGGCGAGGCCGGCGGCCAGCGAAGTAACCCCACGGTTGCGGCACTATGGAGCGCGGTCGCGGTGGAGCATAATTTTGCGGCGCTGTGGTGAAGAGCCTTCTGGAGAATAGAGCAGCTGGATAAGGTTAGAGGCGAGTGGACAAGGGGATATGCTATTTCGGCTATTGGGCTGGTGCCGCGTCCTGCGACGTCCGGACAATTGGGCGTCTTGACCAGAGCATTACCGTTTAAGCAGCCATGTGTAAAGTTAAAGATAAAATGATACTACTAACAGAACTCGTGAACTACAGAAGAAAAAGAAACGCTGACAGTTATGGTGTCCTATGTCCATACGTGCCTCCATCTATTAGAACCCAAATGAGTCCTTCCTAATTAATACTTGAAAACAGCAAGTTTTAAAAAAAAATTGCAATTTAGCGAGAGCGTAGATTAGTGGGAAAACATGGTCACAATATTTAATTTTTTAGTATTTTTTTACGTGTTATCCTTTTGTTTGAAAATTTATGTCTTTTTAATTTTGTCCTAATCAAAGTTCTCTAAATTTTGATATAGTTTATGAAATATACACCGGCTCATATAACGTCATATCTCTACTATAATGGACTACTCAAAATTGTACTAGGTCCTCCTAGGAAAAAGTCCCCCGCTGAGAATATCCAACCATTATGCATCCCAGAAAAATACATATAATAATTCATCTGTATTAAAATTAAGGGCTAATAAAAACACCAAAACCAAATCCAATGCCCACGATCTTCTCACCCCGCGCCCTCCATCCCACGCACCGAACCTTCAAACGCGCCCCCACCCATGCGATCACGGAAAAAAAAACGCACGACGCCCGACTCCCAACGCTCCGCACCGCCGCCGCCAATGGACGCGTCAAGGACGCCATGGATCCCTCTCCTCTAGCTCTGAACCAACCGCTCCGCCGCGACGGCCATCAGCACTCCGCTCAGCCGCGACGTACTGTGGCGGGCGCTACATCCTCCTCTCAGATGATCCGCACCGCAGCCGTCGCAACTTACAGGGCACGCCGCGATCTCGGGCCGGCGCGGCCACGTCCCTCCGCGCATCCGCGCTGCGCCGATCCCAACGTGGCGATGCCACTCCTCGCCGACGACGACCCCTCCGACGACGACGCGCCGAGCCGCCGCACCACCTTCCTCAACAAGGCGCCGTGAGGTGCCGCGTCGTGAGTATCAGTCCTCCGCCGCCCCCCACCCCACGAGACCCTTTGCGATCTGCTCCTGCTGCTAGCGTGCTACATTGCTGCTGCTCGTGTGACCCGATCTGAGCTGTTCCGATCCGTTTATCCGTCCAGGGCGCCTTCAAGTCGGCCGTGCTGAACAGCTTTCAATTCTTTAACCTGGCACGAAATAAAGTTTGGAGGTTACAAGAGCATTGATCGTTTCCTTCTGGTAGTTAATAAAGTTGTTTCTTGGATAGGATAGATTAAAGGTGATATGTGATCGCCCATGATTTCTGAAGCAAAGTTGTTATCTGCGTGCTTGCTCATCAGGTTCATAGGATTATTGAAGGTGATACGGCCAAACCTCGTGATCCTGACAGGGAGACGGTTGCTTCTAATAATAATGTGGCTGGCCAGATGTATGTATCATCGATATATAGATCTAGATAAAGTTTATTCCTTTTATGTGCCTATAGATCTTCTTGGTTTCTTTTGTATGTTACTATAATGTTGTGCACAGTGTTTCAGGGCTCATCCACTTCCTGCATTTGGTTCTTCCTCCAATATAGAGGCCCACGGCTCGAAACAAATGAGGGTGATGTAAGGAGCACTAATGATACCGATCACAGTGTACATTTCATTTCCTAGTAAACAATTTCCTATGCGATGCTTGATGTTTGTTTTTTTTCTTTCCTATGCAATGCATGTGATCCTAGATGTTGGTGAACAACAGGGAAACTATCCCTAGTTATCCAAATTTATGCATAGTGGTTGCAAATTAAATTAACCACAATGCTTAAAAATATCTAGCTAATTACAACCTATGTCTCCAGCACACTAGCTTCCTAATAAATACTGATTATGGCATATGACTATTTTACTTGTTGGGAAGAAAAATTCTGACCTGAAGTGAACAGCTAGATGTGAATTTTGTGAAGGAAATTTTGCTTCCTACAATGCAGTCTTTTCCTGTTGCTTATACTGGAATGGTCGATCCTTTGTTTTTTAATTGAAACGCAGCTTATTTTTCTTGATTGGGCAATTGTTCTTTGTTAGCTGACTCTACTCTCTGTGTTCAATGCATGTTATCAGATCAGCCTTTTATGGGGATTTCCATTATTTTAATAATGCATTGTTGGTTTTTGAAGTTAAGAAGAAACAATTTTGATGGATAATTTCAGTTGCACGGATATGATCATACATGGAAATAGGACGAGACTCAAGGGTGGTGCTGCTCTCTGCCTGCTGCTATGCTGCTGTTGCTCCTCTCTTCTTGCCGACACAACCAAGGTGAGTTGGAATGTATTTCCAGGTTTTCATAAAATGAGTTTCAGGTAGCAAAAGAAGAACCGAAATACAGTTACCATGTAGTATTTCAGTATCAATGCATCAACTATTCTATTGAGAAGTAGGCTTCACTTGTTTTCATGAAACGATTTTCAGGTAGCAAAAGAAGGAACTGCTCTATTGCAGTCCCATGTATCTGATTGCTGCTAGCCTCGATTGAGAAGTAGGCTTCACTTGTTTTTTTCATGAGAAAATAGAGGTCTTCAGAAGTAACACTTGTCCTGCGCATCACACTATCACCGATATATTATACTAAATCTGGCACTTCAGAAATAATTGCTTTACCACTTTATTGCTTGGTAGCAAACTGAATAACTGGTGTATCAAAATGTTTTCTCTACCGAAATGTGTAAGCAGACCACTGAGATGCAGTGTTGCTTGTATTTATGTGGGACTGCAGTAAGGAGCTTGCACTAAGAAATTGCTCGCAGACAGGTTGCTGCTTCCGAGAGAGGATGGTGGTGCTTGTTCCTTGATTGTTCGAGTAGCCAGCTAGGCGTGTTGGATTGTACCTGGATCTGTATTTGCTGGATTGGAGCTGATTAAGGATGGGTTGTATGCACTAGCCTGCTCAACACACGGTCTACAGGTAAGCCGTTCGATGAAATGCCCTTAAACTCACCCTAATAGGTTCTGTGGTGGTTGTTCCATGTCCTACATCAGTGGAGGACTCGGGGTTTCCCCTCCTTCCAGTTTTCAGCAAGTCGTGTTCACTGAATTTTGCTGTTACATTTCTGACAGTTTGTACTAAACCTTTCATTAGATGCCTTTAAGGGCTTCAAATTGTTATGAAAAGGAAGCTGGTGTCAGTCCAGACGAGCCCCAAATTAAGATTTGCCAAGATCAGTGAGACGCAACGCAAGTGGTGTATTTTGCACATGAATTTTTATTTTGCTGCATTATTTGTATTGCCTTAGAATGTTTCTGAAACCAGCAAGAGATTTGTTAAAATGTTTGTTCCATGTTGGGAACTCACGATTTTTTCCTAACTTCAACTGAAAGCAGTCAGAAGTTTGGCTAATAATACTCTGAAATCTTCTACATGGCCTATTCTTTTCCCCATTGGAAATATATTTAATTGCCGTCTCATTTTATTTTCCTTCTGTATTCTTTTTCCATTGACAATTTATTTTATTGGTTGTTTGATTTGTATTATAAAATATCACCGTAGCGTTAGCACGGGCAGTATACTAGTTATTTTTAATTCAATTCGCCATTAGGTATGTCTTAATTAATAGTGTATTTATTTGGTGTTGTAGATGTTAATATATTTTTCTTTAAGCTAAGTAAAGAATAGAAGTTTGGTTTAAATTCAAAAGACCTAAATTTATAGTGTATGTAGTAAATTTATTTTAATGGACGTATTTTATCGTTATCTCAGCCGGTTGGGTTTCTTGTGGTGAAACCTGCCCATCCGGTGGTCAAGTTCCCGACTTGACACGGATGCTCGTATTTTTCTGGATTTATTCTACAATTTAACGGCGTTATACCATCAGTGGTAGGCGACGTGCCCGTCGATAGCAAGGTGTAGTGTCCAACTCAGTTCTTCAGAGGAGCTTATAGGGGTAGGGTGTGCATGCGTGTGTTCATAGGGGTGAGTGTGCGTTTGTGTATATGAGCGTCTGTAATTGGGTCTCAAAAAAATATTTCAACACCAGTTTTAGATCATTTTTAGAAAAAAAATATTAATCAAATGTGTAAATGATTATTCTGGATCAAACATGCAACAGAATACATGGGTTGAGCGGCCCAACTGCCCGGCCCATAACGCTCCACTCGAAGACTAGGGTTTACCACCTCACAAGTACCCCGCCGCTGCGAGATATATAAGCCGATCCGCAACCCCCCGCCCCCGCTTCTCTTCCACCTCCGCCTCCACTCCCTGCCGCCGCCCCCACCGCCCGCCGCCGCGCCGCGAGCCGATCCAATGGCGCCGTCGTCTAAGCTGTCGCAGGGCATCAAGAAGGCCTCGCGGTCCCACGCGTACCACCGACGCGGTCTGTGGGCGATCAAGGCTAAGCACGGCGGCGCCTTCCCCAAGGCCGAGAAGCCCGCCGCGGTCGCCGAGCCCAAGTATTACCCCGCCGATGACGTGAAGCCGCGCAAGGCCAGCACCCGCAAGCCGAAGCCCACCAAGCTTAGGTACCTGCGTGGATTGCATCATTTCTTCAGTACGATTTGTTTGCCGTGAGCTGCGAGTCCTGACGGTTTCTTATGCGTGCAGGTCGTCAATCTCTCCGGGCACCGTGCTGATTGTGCTCGCCGGGAGGTTCATGGGGAAGAGAGTTGTTTTCCTCAAGCAGCTCAAATCTGGCCTGCTCCTTGTTACTGGTGAGCCTACATTAGTCTGACACCGTTTCGTTCGAATATCTGTTTGGTGAATTGCTGAATGGTGTGTTACAAATTCATTGTTTGCTTTGAATAGCTACATTAGCTGTTTCCTGTCGACGTCTCCTTGCCTTTATTATGTAGTGGAACGTTGTAGATTGAACATTTGACAGTATAGTCGTCTTGGAGTTGAAATGCTTGATGTTGAAATTAATATTGTCTTGAAATTTGCTGACTGCTGTGGAAATCTGTTTATGGTATCTGTTTGTGCATTCGATGATAGAAACTACTTGTATTCCTTGTTGCAAATTGTTGGTCTGGTCATATTTCAGTTCCTTGCTTATATTCGTATGGGAAATTGGGAGCTATTGCAGTGATATTGATCTATGGACGTGTTTTATTTGGGAATGGAAGTCTCAATTGAGTGTATAGTATAGCAAATTCATTGCATTATTACATTAATCAGAAATGGTTGGAATGGCTATAGAATTTGATCTCAAATTTTGAAACTCCTATCACTTGACCCTTTTTAGTGGGAACAGGTTGGGATAAATTTGTACTAAACTTTTCTTTTACTACTTGTATTGATCATTTCCTGCATTATTCTATAGAATGGGTGAAATATCCATTGTTCCAACATTCAATTAAAAATCCTGAATGGATTATCATGGTGCGCTGAGTGTTTTGATCATCTATCAGCACTTGGTTGCTTACTCCGAGTAATATAACACTGTTTTAGACCTTGTTAGGATTTGTGGCAACACCAATTTGACAGATGGATATCCCTGAGAGTCGAGTACTACTACAAGATGTTAAAACGTTTGTTTCTATTTTGTAAGATTAGGAGCTTTGTTAATCAGGTCATTTGCTTGTGCATGTTTTGCAGCTCTTTTACATGTGTATGTATTTAGCAGCTGCTCTATTAATTGTATATGCTGGAGTAGGTTCAGTATATGCTTGCTTTTTTCTGGCATGCTAGCTACTAAGGTATCATAAAATGTGTGCAGGTTATGAACTCCTATTAGTTTTTTAAGTCTGCTAAGCTATTTCATACTCTGGACTGTATGTTGCATATTCTTATTATATTGTGTTGTATATGTGTCATGCTTTAACCAATATTGATCTCTTTCAGGACCTTTCAAGATCAATGGAGTCCCAATCCGCCGTGTGAATCAGACCTATGTCATTGCAACCTCCACGAAGGTTGATATCTCTGGTGTTAACGTAGAGAAGTTTGATGACAAGTACTTTGCAAGGGAGAAGAAGAAGAAGGCAACCAAGACCGAGGGTGAACTTTTTGATACAGAGAAGGAGGTGCGTGTCTATACATAATTTAGACCTTGTTTTTTGTAACCTGGCATTCCTTTACTTAGAAGTAACCTACCTGTATCTTTCAGGCAACCAAGGACCTGCCGCAGTTCAAGAAGGATGATCAGAAGGCGGTGGACGCCGAGCTGATCAAAGCTATTGACGCTGTGCCGGATCTGAAAACCTACCTCGGTGCGCGGTTCTCTCTCAGGGACGGCGACAAGCCCCATGAGATGGTTTTCTAGATTAGTTGGTGCTAGGTGTGAAGCTTAATAGTCAGTTTGCCTGATCTACCTGAGGGCGCTATTGAATTTTGTATCTGACTGGTGAACCTTTGGTTTCCATTTGAATCACTGTCAAATCTTGAATGAAGTCATACATTTTCCTGGTAAATTTAGCAATGTTTTGCACAATATATAGTACTATATATGTAAGCTACTTGCAACAAAGTCCAGCCCTGTCATTTGCCATTCATCCGTGGGCCATAGCCTTGGTTTAGCCTTGCATCTGCTGGAGGCTGGACTATGATCTGTGTTGTCTCCATTTCATGTTTCCTTTGTCGGTTAAATTCTATGTTTGCATTTGCTTCATGCTGCCCAAGATGATCTTTGTGTAGATAGAATCGTGATTGCATGCTTAACAGGTGTACACAGGATCGTGATTGTATTCTCGGTTTGAGTTATGGAATGGTTGATCTGCTGATTTGCTGAATTGAGCTGGTTAGTCGAGGATAGCTCAAATTTCGGTCATATTCCATTTTTTTAGTAGCGTGATGCACGGATTTGTTAAGATGCGGACAATATGTAGAATGCAATTGGGTTTGTAATGTTCGGAACATGCCTCGGAAAATTCCAGTACAACTATTGTTGAACACCAATACACTCGCAAAGTGGCACTGAATTGCAGGCTACAGCATAGTGTCAGCTCGGGACGGCAGCCTCTTGAAAAAGTTGCTGGCAGCCGACGGCATTCGGCCCCGGAACCTCGGGTGGCGGAGCACGTACAGGCCGACGACGAGCGACACGACCCGGATCGGTGTGACGTAGAGCACGGCGGCGGCGACGAGGCAGAACGCCGTGAACAGTGCCGTGGCCCGCGGGTCCCTCCACGCGAGCAGGGACCGGATCCGCTCTCCCTGCGTCGCCACGTCTCCAACCACCGTCTGGATCCGCCCGGCCACGCTCCGCAGCCGGTCGTACCGCAGCCGCACCACGGCGTTGGGCCTCGACGTCGGGAACGTGTCCAGCTCCTCGTCGAGCTCGTCGGGGTGGATCGCCTCGGCGCACGAGATCCTCGCGTCCATGTGCGGCGGCCGTCGCGGCCGGCGACGGTAGTTCAAGAGGCCAGCCGTGGACATGTACAGGAACATGGTCGGCAGGATGAGCTCCGGGAAGCACATGAGGGTGACGAAGAGCACGTGCACGAGGACCGTCGTCGCCGGGTTCTTCCAGCGGCAAACGTCGGCGAGCCACCGCGCGGTGCTGGCCGCACCTGAGAGGAGCGCCGTGACGCGGAAGAAGTTGGCCTTGCTCCGCCGGATGCTCCAGACGTGCGAGTCCGCGTCGAGCATGTACTCCACGACCTCACGGCGCAGCGGCGGCTCGGCCCGGCTCAGCCTCGCCGCCACGATGCTCATCGCCTGCCGCCGCAGGCTGTCAAGCTGCACGACGGTGAGCGGCTGGATGTAGTGCACCTTGGGGAGGAGGGGCTGGCCGTAGAGGCGCACGACGCTGCCGAGGGATAGGCAGGTGAGGCGCACGGCCAGGCAGAGCTCGCCGTTCTTGCGCAGGCCGGACGGGTGCAGCACGACGAGCGGGTGCGCGCTTGTGCGCGCCTTGTCCATCTCTAGCGTCGAGAGGCGGATCCTGACCTTGCCGATCCTCTGGTCCCTGATGACGGCGCCGTTGCCTGCGGCGCCGTTGCCGAGGTGGCAGTTGTCGAACACGGCGAGCGTGAGCACCGTGCACGGGTCGTACACCTCCCACGTGTACTGCTCGTTCCACCGGGGGCTGCAGGAGTCCACCACGGTTCGCGTGCGCACCCACTTCTGCCCGTACTTGGCGACGCAGTACGCGTCGGTCATGCCCCGGCCGTCGACGGTCTTCATCGGCGTGAGCCCCTGCGCGCCGAGGACGCCGACTTCCAGCACGCCGATCGGCGGGCGCCACAGCTGCCGCGCGGTGGGGCGCGTGTCGCTGGCGTACATGATCGGCTCCTCCATGACGTGGTACGCGCCCTCGAGGCACGCGCGGAGGTGCACGCGGCCGGCGAAGACGGACTCCGGCGGGCGCACCGGACGCCCGAAGGGCTCCAGGCTGAACCACTGCGACTGGACCGGGCGGCGGTCTAGCCGCTTCTCAAAGAGCGTGAGCGGCAGCAAGGCGCGCCCGATGATCTCGTCCTTGCCGGGGTGCACGCGGGCCTCGATGATAAGAACCGCCGGGTCTTCGAACGGCTCAGCCACGGCGAACACCAGCTCCTCGTTCCACGCAAGGTTCGCCGGACCCCTGGTGGTGCAGGGCCGAGTCCTGAGCACCATGCCGCCGACCTGCACCTTGGCGAAGACCTCGGCGTGCCGGCCTTTGTCCGCGGTGGCGCCGGCACCGGCACCGGGCGGCACGACGTCCTGAGCCTCGAGCACGCTTACACGAAAGTACCACAGCTTGGGCGTAACGTACACCTTGGACCGCGAGTTGTGCACGGCCGCCGCGCCGTCACCGCCGCGGACCGAGGCGGCGTCGGCGTGCCACGCGTCCGAGAACGCCTCGTCCGCCTGCGTGCCGACCCAGACGGCGAGCATGACCTCGCCGTTCGCCACCATCTTGCCACCACCAGCAGTACTCTCGAGGCGGTACCACTGCGGCGCGAGCGGGCTGTCCGGCGGCACGCGCACTGGCGCCTCGGCGATGTCGAACGCGACTCTGCCGACGCAGTCGTCGCGCCCCAGGGCGTCCCTGTCCCTGACGAACACCTCCAGCACCGTGGCCTGCACGCGGTCCCTGGAGAAGGCGAACACCAGGTTCCACTCGGGGCTGGCCTTCCCCTCGCAATGCCGCGTGGCGGCGCGGTAGTTGCCGACGCGGACCTCGATGTAGGGGCTGCACCCGCCGGTGACGGCGCTCGCCGGGAGCTCGCGCGCCTTGACGACGCGCACGTACAGGTAATGCATCGTCTCCACGAGGTCGTAGGCGCTCGCCAGCCTCTGGCTCTCCCCTGAGCCGAGGCCGTCCAGCCACCCGGCTCCTGCGCTTCTGCTGCCACTGCCGGCCGGCCACTGCTCCTTGACCTGTGGAGCAGGCGCGGCGTCCTTGGCCTTGTGATCCTCCACTCTCGCTGGTGGAGCCTGAGCACGGAAGACGTACGGGTACGCGTACGCCATGACCGGCGGGGCTGGCAAGATGGTGGCGCCGGTCGCCGATGAACGTGCCCGCCTGTTGGTTAACCGGTCGGCTTCCCCGTCGCCGGCAAGGGAAGGCATGCAAGGTGGCACGAAGGAATGCGGTACAGGCACTTCGTTGCAGAAGCTTGAAGCGAATGTGGGTACGGGCTGTGACGGAAAAGGTTTGCGAGATATGGAGAGAGTAAAGATGAGGTCATGTGACGTGATGCAGAGTCAAGGCGCATCTGCCTGGATTTGAGTAGGACCTAGGAAGGAAGACTGGAAGAGGAGTGTTGGTGAAGTTGCCTGTAGGGCTGTATCTGCTGGTTCGTGTCTGTATCCCATATTCCTGTTCGAGTAAATAATTACAGGGGGTGAAAGACCCATGTTATTCTTAATGAAGTTGACATGATCATTTGTAATGCATCTATGACAGTCAGACTCTTTTCTTAATACTCCGTTCTACTCCCTTCGTTCTAAATTATAAGTCATTTCAACTTTCTTCGAGAGTCAAAGCATCTCAAGTTTGACCAAAATTATATAAAGAAATACAAAGATTTATGACATCAAATATGTATTACTATAAAAATATAATTAATGAATAATCTAATGATACTTGGTTGGTATTATAAATGTTATAATTTTATTATATAAATTTGGTCAAACTTGATATGTTTTTACTCTTCAAGAAAGTTGGAATGACTTATAATTTGGGATGGAGGGAGTAAATTATAAGACGTTCGAGCTTTTCTAGACATAACCATATTTTATATCTAGGTGTATAGCAAAAGTCGTGTATCTAAAAAAAAAAGTCAAAATAACTAACAATTTAGAACAGAGGGAATACTTACTTATTTGAGAAAACTATGAAATGAAACATTGTCAGGTTTGTGAAGTGAAGTGTTTAGTTGCCTCGCCTATAACATGAAAATTTGAGTTCTGAACTATGCTATGTACACATAAAACAATAGGTCTCATAAATTTTGAAATTGGTCTTCAATATAGTTGGGGAAAAAATGAAATCAGATCACATTTGCATCTGATCCAGAAAATAAAAAGCTCTCAGCTGGGTTACATACTCAATTACGTGATGGAGCCAAGAGGGAAAAAGAGCAAAGTGCGTATTCATTCATGTACAAAGCAAAAGCAATCCAGAGGCTTTTGTGGGCTTGTGGCCTGGTTTGCTTTAACCAAAGAAACCCCTTTACCTTATTTTATTTTTCACACTGGAGCTTTATTCTCCTCGTTGCGATTGAAGTATATTGACCAGTGCCAATGGAGCAGTGCTGTGGCCTTACGGCATTTACATTTTTGTTCATTCACGTTTGGCTAATCCCAGACGGTGTATGGTCTACTGCTCCCTTCACAATTGTTTTTTTTTTCTCCCAGAAAACTGTGATCTTCATTCAGGCCTTTGGATCCTTGCTGGTTCCTTGGTTTCTTGATTCTTTCTCGATTTTTCGTCAAGGCGCGTTTTTTGGTCTCGTTTTGCTCATTGCTCTGAGTATAGTTTATGCTAGCTTTACAAAGGTTACATGTTCCCACTTGTTCGAAAATATGCAATTGTATTTCTTTACTTTGAGGGAAAATCACGAGGCCTGGACACTATTATTTATCACTGTAGTGCTGAAAGGTGACCAGATAGGGTCTACCATGTGAATCAGAACACAATCCACGAGAACTTCAGAGTTTACTAGTAGTTCAGTGATAGACCATATGAACAGTATCCTGACATTTTCCCTCTGTAATTTAAATGGGTTTTTGTGACGAGGACATGAGAAAAACAACCCGGCTGTGTTTCAAATTGCAAAATTGAATATTTTGTTCTGCAAGCGATCACTTGCTCTGATGGTCTCCCGGAATATGCGTGCATGCAGGAACGCCGCCATGTTTTCCTCATAAGAAACTGCTATGAGCACAGCAACTGCCATGTTTTACTCATAAGTCATAACAGCACGTACGCCCCATCACTTGCTATCCCGTCCACGAGAGCGGCAGCAGAACACCCAGGGGAGCTTTGGCAGATTTCCTGCCCGGCATCTTTGAGCTTCCATGCCCCAAGCCCCACGATCCACTGTAGAAAAACAGGAGGCACGGAAGAGGCAAAGATGTAAGAAACTGCAAGATGAGGTCTTGATATTCATAAGTCCACAAAACAAGAAATGGTGGCCATGCCATTTCCCTAGAACGATGGCAAGTATAGAAACAAGGGCTTTATTTTCCATGGTTTATCTAGTTTGAGACCGGACCAAATCGTGAACTAGCCTACTAGTTTACACTTATCAGCTTGAACTTATCAGCCGACTTATCAGCTAGAATCTACAGTATTTTTCTCTCACAATAAAACAACTTCAGCCAACTTTAATACCTGCCAAACAGACCCAATAGACACCATGTTTGTAGTTCGGTTATGGGCCTTACTCCTGAAGAACAAGGCTGTACAAAGCATCTGACACTAGGAGCTCAGAAATCATGACCAAACACCTCTGTCCTGCATAGGTATTATGCTAAATTTCTCGTAGTACCTACTGACCTACATATTGAAGTTCATACAAGCAGCCACAAAAGAAAATATTCGCACTAGTGCTAATAGTAATAGTGCAGCACAAAAGTAAATTCAAGATTTTATTTGTTCAACGGCCCACTGGGATACACAGAAAAGTATGCATACATCAGAGCATGAACCAGATCACACCTCACACTAGTAGCTGCAGTCCTAGAACCACAAGCAGAGAGCCAATAGCCCCATATTCTTTGGTCCTCGAGAAGGGAACCAGGAATGGCCGTGTGCATCATGCCGTGGCAAATGTTGAAAGAAGAGCAGCACAGCCAGGGCATTGGCACTTGGCAGTTAGGCTAGCGGCTTAGGAAAGAGCAGACAAGAGGAAGGACAAGCCTGAGGTGGACTTTCTTCTCTTCCCCCAGCAAAGTGCAGCAGTAAATTCATCGCATGGACATGAGGTTGCGCCTCTGGGTGGCTCTCCTGGAGGCCCGGGCAGCCTTTGGTGTTCGCTTCAGGTTTTTCCTCACCAACTTCTCTATCTTCTCTATTGAACTGGAAAGTTTCTTCTCAACAATGTCAGCAAGGGCAGGATCCATTGGTTTGGATGGAGTATTCAGTGAGCTTTCTGCTGGCGAGGAAGACACATTCAAATTGTCATCAGCCAAGACAGTAGCAGGGTTTGCTACAGTTTCTCTTTCAGTTGAGCCGGAGCCAGATGCAACAGCATGGGAGGCTTCAGCAATGTGAGGAGCATCCTGCTCTGCCTGTGCTGGAGTAGTCACGTTCACAGATTGCAGAGACTGCTCGGTCCTTTGGCTTTGCTGCTGAGCTGCAGCAATCCTTGAACGGCTTCTCTGAATGGCCTGCATGCAAGCCAGTCAGAATAGGATGGAAACTAGCAAGGGAACAAACATACACTGAATGTGTAGTTCAGCTTTTGTAATGAACTAATCATGTGGGGATAAACTTTAGGATGCCTTAACAGGTGGACTGAAATATTGGTAAACAATAATTGGGGCTAAGTGAATAATCGAACTTTCTTAATGACATAGATAAAATATAACCTACACCCTCCGTTCCAAATTATAAATCACTATGGCCGCAGTCAAACTTGTCTAACTTTGACTAAGTTTATATAAATATATTGACATCTACAATACCAAATAAGTTCACTCTCAAGACTATTGCAGTCAAACCTGTGTTGTAAATGTCGGTACATTTTACTAGACTTGGTCAAAGTTAGACAAGTTTGACTTAGAACAAAGCCGAAGTGGCTTATAATTTGGGACAGATGGAGTATGCAACTAAGGCAAATGTAGCAGAGGAATTACTAAACTCAGATGGCATGCACTTAAAATGCAGATGCACTAATAAACATACTAAGCATTAATTTTATAACAGAATATCATGGTGGATATGAACAACTATTAAAAGTAAAATGGCCCACCCCACAAATGCCCCATTCAGAATACAGATGGAACTAGATCCATCTTATTATCTGAGCAGTACAATCTCAGAAAAAGTTAAATTTGAGTCATGCATATTCTACATGGCATGGCAATGAGACACAAAGCAGTGAAGCACAAGATGGTAAAGTATAACTTGTACTTCTGATTTAAATGTTACTGTAATCCAACCAGCTTGTTGAGTCATATTCTCATTGGATCCATCAAAATATACCAAAATTTTATGGACACTAAAAAGTAGGAAACTGCACAGCAGATTTATCATCAATCTCAATCAGTTACTCCTACTTGGCACCAACAGTACTATATGGTTGGACCTTGTGACATAAAACAGACAAATTAAGACCGTCAAAAAAAAACAGACAAATTAATATTTTCAGAAGGATCAATGATAGCATTCAGAAGCTAAATTAAACATAATGTGCATTGATTTTACAATAGAATAACATGGTGGGTATAAGCACATGTATAAAAAATTCAAAAGTAAACATGTCCACCAAAAAATGACCATTCGTAAAATTGGAAGTAAGAAGAGCTTATTATTTGAGCAATACTTTAGAAGAAATTCAGTTTTGTGCTATAACAGAAGTTCAATATGGTGAAGTATAGCTTGAATTCCATTTTAAGTTACTGCAATTTAGCGAGCTTGTTGAATCAAATATTCTCACTGGATTCATTTACCCAATCCCCAAAAAGGACACTGGAAATTCAAAATTGTACTGCTGATTTATAATCTATCTCACTCAACTGCATGCTACTGACAGTACTATAAAGTTGGACCATACTACAGAAAAGAAAAGGAAGTAATATTTTTGCAAGGTCAGCATTCATCAGCTGAAATTGGTAAATCCGGCTGTGCCAAACAGCCAAGTATAATAACTTAAAATTATATACCACTGGCATGCTTTTTACTCTACTTGGCACTAAACACAGATAATGAGCCTAGATATGTAAAATTAACAGGGGACTAACTCTGATAAGATTTAAGTGATGACTATGACAGAAGAATGATGCCACAAGTTCTTTTCAACTAAAAGCACATCACTGCAGTCCACTAAGACCATCGGGTAATTGTCTGATTCTGATGAAATCCAACAAAACCGCTTTGGCACAAATTGTACTCCAACTAGAAATCAGCAGGTCAACTACAATCACGAGATGCTTTAAGTTTCCAACAACTAATCACACATCATAAAGTATGTAAGCACAGTAACAATGAAACCTTTCAATAAGTTAAATTGCTCACATCGTAGCAATGAAATACTAGGCATACCTTTGCAATGGCCGTAATATCACGGAGCGGCGTCCTGGGGTACCATCCAGGAAGCAGGCTCTTCTTTGTCGGTGCGGCCCTCAACGCCCAAACTGGCAGCAGGTTCTCCTTGTTCCTCGAGGGTGACATATAACGCCGCGCCAACGGCTTCCCAGCACCCCTCACCGCCAGGGCTCCCGGCGAGGCCACCCTCCTGATAAAGAACCCTCCGCCGCCAACCCCGCCTGAGAGGTCAGCGAGGGCCGCTCTCCTGCCATCCCTGGACTCAGGCATCTCAGGGCTCTGCAGAAAGCACGCAGCAGATACAGATTGGTGAGCACCCAATAAACACAAATGAGTCGACCAGCAAGGCAGCAACCCCAAAATTTCTCGCAGTCTTGACTTGCCTGGTCCAAATCCTACTACTGCTCCTGCCACTAGTTTCACCGGATCTGCAAAAGTAGGACCCTGAATCGCATCAAAACACCAAGAAATGGGAGGGAAAGGGGCTGAATCCTAAAACTTCATCACGATTAGGTCGCCTGGATATCCAATCTAGGCGCCTGGAACCCCTGATGGAACTAGCACTTGCAATCCAGTAATAGACCTAGGGCAAATCTCATGAACTTGGGTGCTTCAGGCTGTAGTGGCGGGGGCTCTAATTCAAAGAGGAAGAAAACCGAAATGAACGGGGAGATGGGCGGGACGCTGAAATTTTGAACCCGGAGCTCAAAATTTTCCAGGCACATGTGGGCCCAACTCGATTTGAATCGCTGGCACCTTTGCGCTTGCACATGCATCACGTGCACTTTAGGATGGGTTTAATTTCTAGCCTAGCCTTTATTTGCCAAATGGAATCTCCTTTTGTCCCGAAACCTAATCAAGTTATAGTGGCACATCAATAATTGGCATCAGTTCTTAGAATTGGTTCAAAAACTTCTAAGTACAAAGATTAAAAAAACACTATGTAAGCTAAGGCTGCAAACAAAAACTCGCCATCACTAGATATATAAGACCTAATACATGCGCCTAGGAAGATTAAACGTGATTAATCTTTTGTGTGAGGAAGAACAAGGAGCAGTGAGGAAGGTGCACGGCTTCAAGCTCAGGTTCCGCTCTCTGCCTCGCAGCCGTCAGGAGGAACGAGGGGGTGACGAATGGGGATTTGAGCAAAGACCCACCAGATTGGAGGGGAGCAGCCACCAGAGTCGAGCAGGGCGCCGGCAGCTGTCGGGGGCGAGCAGGGCCGGGGCGCCACCGGATCGAGAGGGGAGCCGCCGCCGCAGTCAATCAGGGCGCCTCTGGATCGGGGAGGGGAGCAGCCTCCGGTGTCAAGCAGGAAGCCTGGCGAGAGAAGAGGAGGTGCTGAGGAGAGAAGGGTAAGACGGGGAGGGGGGAGGCGACGCACCTGGATTTGCAACGGTAGTTGGACGGAGCCCAGGCCGGCGCGAATGCGGCGACGGAGCGAATCGGAGCCGCGCGAATGGTTCCCGGAGGGGGGAGACGATTTGGAACGGAGCGAGGAGCAGGGGATTTTGAGGGGGAGATGGAGGCGATTTCGGGAGGAGGCGGGTGACTCTGGATGTTTTCACTTCCCGCTCCAGCTGCGATCCAAACTTTCGGAGTTTTAGTGCTAGAAGGAAGGACGAAGCTGGCAACCTCCTTACACGCGCCGCACCGCGGCATGGCAAAAATTCGAAAGACTAGACGGAAAGGGAAAGGTGACACAGTGGCACCTTTCCTGTGATCTCACATGAGTTTTGTACCAGATGCAAGAAAATTCACATGAATTTTGTTTTTTTAGCGGAAATACACATGGTATATGCTTATCAGCAGTAGAAATCATCAGACGAATAGCTCCATGAATTTCGTAAACACAAGAGCATTAGTTGGACTCCCTTTAAAACCCCATTTAAAACAAGAAGGAGTCTATATAACCCCTAATTCGTAATTAGGGTGGTTTATATAAACCAAAACTATAAAATCAGATATTATCATACTAAGTTTAATAAAATCAGGCAAATAACCATCTAGGTGCTATTGGGAGGTGGTTTTGTTGATCTAGCGATCGACGCTAGTTAGCATCGACAACTTAGCATCCAGTGCCACTTGTCGGCCTAGATAGCAGCTCCATTCTTCAACGTGTCCTGGTCTTCACGGTCCCATGGAGCACGTCTTCTTCTATATCTACGTGTACACATCGAAGCACTTCACCTCCAACCTCATGTCTTCCCCCTCTTCTCCTTCTCCGCACACTCCCTGTTAAGCCCCATTTGAAATGGGAAGAAGTCTGTATAACCCCTAACTCGTATTTAGGATGGTTTATATAACACAAAACTATAAAATCAGATAGCATATACATACTAAATTTAATAAAATTGGAGAAATAACCCTCTAGGTGCTATTGAGAGGTGGTTTTGCGGATCTGGCGATCGACGCTAGTTAGCATGGACAACAGAGCGTCTAGGGCCACCTGTCAACCAAGATGGCAACTCCATTCTTCAACGTGCCATTGTCTTCACGGTCCACGGCGCACGTCTTCTTCTACACCTACGTGGCTACGCACACACGTCGAAACATTTCACCTCCAGCCTCATGCCTTCCCCCTCTCCTCCTTCTCCGTCACACTGCGTGGGTTCTGCCCGCTTTGTGGCCACATCCTGCCAAGCCTAGACGAGGGTGACGGTCCACGGGCGAAGACGAGGGCGAGGTCGTTGAGCTCACCGTGGCCTAGAGCTCTGAAAACTTTGACAAACTCTCCGATAGTGATCCGAGGGACATTGCCCCCAACGCTCTACGCGCTAGTGCCACAACGAAGGACGATGGGTCCTTCGCCCTCGCGGTGGCCTAGTCTTTGCTGCCCGGACGCTCGACGAAATGCGCTAGCTGGTGGCCAACACAACTAGGTCGTTGCCGGTGACAGGCAGCAGTCGACCTGATGCCGAAGTTGTGCTTCATTCATGCTCACCAGTGGCCATGTGATATATAGACCATCCTGGACATGCCATGGAGTTATATAGACCTCTTCCATTTGAAATGTGAAATTTTTCCCGGTTTTTCGGGTTTTCAATGTAAAAATGGATTGACTCTTGCGGAATTTCTACACAAGTCCTGTCAAATTCCTACGTTCCAAATGGGTTGTAACGTGAAATCTCATATTGCAGGAGCACACATATTCTCGAAGTCATGTAGCATCATATGTTTCGAAGTGAATGACCAAGACATTTTTGTTAAAGCCTATTAATCAAGTATACATATTTTGGCACCATGGTTTCACTGTAGCAATTTTGGCCATGTGTATTTTTAGAAAACCTTTTAGATGTTTTTACTGCACCACACACATTCTTACATTTTTTTAGTATGTAAATGAAAATTGTAGAATAAGGCTAGAGGTCAATGTTATTTCAAGTCATTGGTGAAAAGTAAACAAAAACCGAACAAAGTTATTTTTGTTAAATATTGGCATAATGGTTAGCTAAAAGCCTAAACCTCTAATTTTTTTTGTTCATAAGTGCTAAAAAATCACAACTTTAGGTCTTTGATTAGTTCAAAACGTATAATCTAAAGATCTTGTCACCGCATGTATGTAATTATCATAAAAAGTAAACATATATTTAAATCATAGAAAAATACATTATTGGATAAAAATTATAATTATTTATTTTACATAAATAACCATATAAAATCAAGGTTATATTACGTGTTTTCAAGTAAATGTCGTATAGTTAACTATTAAACTTTATAAACCTCAAATCAATTGCTTGTGTACATGCCTTTGAGGTCACAAGTCTAGCCAATAGACCCTCTTAATTCTGATATTGTTGTCAGTAAATTTGCTATCTTTGGAGCCTGTTTAGATGGATGGCGTTACCATCAAAATTATCAGAAATTTATTTTCTGTAAAAAAATGGATCAATCAATTTTCTCTTCCAGACCAACCCGAACTGATCATAGATAAGTTGGTTGGGTTCCTTGTGGTGAAACCTGTCCACCTAGGTTCAAGTTCACGACTTGGCATGGGCGCTCGCATTTTTCTAGATTTATTCTAGGATTTTTTAGCGCTATACTTTCAGTGGTAGGCGACGTCCCCGTCGACAGCGAGACGTCTATGGTGACTTTGTGAATTTCGAGATTTGCCGGAGGTGCTTATAGGGGTAGGGTTTGCGTATATGTGTTTATAGGGGTGAGTATATGTGCGTGATGTGGACGTCTACGTTATACTGTGTAATTCTAAAAAAAAGAAAGAAAGTAACATAGGTTTACTTCCGTTACGCTGGGACACGAGTCCAGGACCGTGAGAATCAAACCAAACCGTCAAATGCAATTCTCACTTTCTAAAAAGTCAAATTATTTCAATTTTGACCTAGTTTATATAAAAGAATTGTTAACATTTATGATACCAAATAAATATAATTAGATTAGTTATGAGATATTTTTAATAGTAAATCTGTTTGGAGACATAAATGTTTATATTATTTTTAGATAAAATTGGTCAAGGTTAAAAAAGTTTGATTCATTCCAAACCTAAAATTACATTCTTTTTGGATACATGGAATATGCCTTCTCTTGCTTTGAAAAAAGGTTAATTCAAACCATGCCATTATAACATAACATGGTTTGAAGGTCAGTTATTACTATTTATCTATTTTGAATCATATATCGTTACAGTTCCATATCACTTCCTACATTTTTTAACGTGTTGGACCACGCAGGGATCGTATTTTTGTATTGCCCAAATTATCCATTTAAACTACCTCTTTGGACGACCACTCATGCGCCTTCCTCTCCTCTCCCATGGATGCCGACCTTGGGATTCTTAGACAACGGCCACCATCGAGGCACAGCGTAAAGGCAGGGTGTAGGACCTCTGTTAGAGGCAGCACCTTAGAGCATTTTCAGTAGTTTCTAAAAATCACTTGGTAAATTAATGAGTTTTTCGAGCGACTAAAAAAAGTTAGGGGCATATTTGTTGGCTTACTCTAACCGTTTTCAAAATCTCACTCATAAAAGGTGGAACGTAATTTTGCATGAGAAATCCCGGACTATTTCTAAATCACCCCAAACCATTTTTATACTTTCTCTCTCTTGTATATTTGTATCATGAACCCTTTCCTGCTCCTTATTCTTTTTCACGTCCTTCCACCTTCGGATTGGCCGAGGATATGCGCACACATATATCCGCGTAATTACGTCCGTTTTCCCAAGTGTGAAAAGTTTAGGAATTGAGATAGAGAGTTGTTGGAGAGCAATTTTTTAATCTTGCCAAAAAAAAGATTGGAAGTGGGTCTTGGAAACTCTCAGAGATGCTCTTAGTAGCGAGGAAGGTCCAATGGCATCTGGCGCATGCAGTTCTTAAGGTGACAAGGGCAGGGTTGGGCTGGCCGCACTGTCGACGAAATATGATCAGCAGTCTACCTAGGGGTATGCCCAAGGTAGTAGATTATCGGCAGACAGGTGCGCAAGCTACGAACGAGATGGTGACGCAAGACAGACACGAGGTTTTATCCAAGTTCGGCCGTCGTGAGGGCGTAATACCTACGTCCTGCGTCTGATTGTATTGCTGTATGTCAATGAGATTGTGATGATTTGAGAGGGGTCCCCTGTCCGCCTTATATAGTCTGGGGGGCAGGGTTACAGATCTGGAAACTAATCCTAACCAGTTACAATTGCCATAGGTGGCCGGATAAGGATTCCTATTCTAACCGATCAGGATCTTGCTTGATCTCCAAGTCTGCCTTGATTCCTTGCGCGGGACTCCGAGCAGATCGGCTGGGCCGCGCGTCGTCTTTTGGTGGGCCGGACCTCTTGGTCTGGGATGGCCCAAACCTAGCCGTAAGGGTATAGGGGTTAATACCCCACAGCTAGTCCCCGAGCACCATGTATTATGTTGCGACACGCCGTTTGATATTCTTCGGCTAACGCGATCTATCTTCATGTCATCTCCAACTGGTTGAAACATTAACCAAGCAAATATGCCAGTATTCTGGTCAGCACAGAGAGCAGTAGACCATGGTTACAGCCGAAGATTCTGATTGTCCAAAGAATGCATGGTGCTCTAAAGAAAAAAGAAAAAAGATTTCTTTTCTGATCAAGTGTGCCGACTTGTATTTCTGAAAAGAAATATAAGTGACCCCTGTACAGGAATAGTTATGGCCAACAGTCAGAGCGTAGGGGTCGAATAAAATAAGCATATTCACCGTAAGATGAAGTGTGCCCACTTAGTCCCCGAGCCTAGTAGTAGGTGACGTAGGCGCGTGGTGCCAAGGTCTAAAAAAGTCTTGTTAATTAGATACAGCATGCACCATCAGGTGCATCGTACCGATGTAGTCCCCGAGCTTGCTGGAAGGAGAGGTATGAGCCTTGTAGCAAGGTCTAAAGGAGAAAAAATATCCCAACTGTATGCGAGTCGCTAGTCGCATGTAATCGAGACGCGAAGTCCCCGAGCTGTGGTCGGAGAGTGGTCGAGGCAGTCCCCGAGCACAAGTCAAGGAGCGAGCGACGAAGTCCCCGAGCTGTAGTCAGAGAGTGATCGAGGCAGTCCCCGAGCACAGGTCGAGGAGAGAGCGACGAAGTCCCCGAGCTGTGGTCAGAGAGTGGTCGAGGCACTCCCCGAGCACAGGTCGTGGAGCGAGCGACGAAGTCCCCGAGATTGCTGGTAGGCGAGGTATCAGCCTTGTAGCAAGGTC